CTGTGTTCATTTCGTTGTTTGAAACAAAAGTAAAATGAAAATGAAAAATACAAAGAGATTGGTTCATTCGTGAAATAACAAGTATATAAAAGTATATTTTATAATTTCAATGTTTTCCAACAGTGTGAAACAGTGTGTGTAATGTTTTAATCGAATTGGAAGAATATTACAAAGTATTATTATTTGTCATTAACTATTAAACGTATATGATAAATTTGAATATTTATAATATAATATTTTGACTTGCAGATGACCAGAGCAGTTATTCTAATAAAATCACTAATTGTACAAGAATGTTTTGCCTCTATTCTAATATGTACCAATCCTAAATTATTCTTTCGTGGGGGATGGGGGTTCGTGTTTACCGCACAGAGGTGATTAAGAATCATCGACTCGTTCCCAAGCGAAATAAGCAATTGGAATCGAGGCTTCGGTTCGTTTCGGACGAGCCACAGGAAGGCCCTCGTAATGGATTTCGTGGTGGCGCAAAAAACGTTTTATGAGGCTCGGGTATGCGGCGAATCCCATACAGGTATTTCCTTTTGGTTTCAGGGGGCCCTCCGTTGCGCTCGCCGCGGAGGGTTCGGTCCTCGTGAGACCATTCAATGTGGGCGTGCGCTAATGACTTGAATTAAACTCGTTTCGTCAAGTCGTGCCACGGCCCGAAACCGTGTATCCTGGCCGACTACGTGCCACAGCCGACGGATGAGAAGTATTACGCTTGGAATTCTTCTGTGAACCGACCTTCCTGCGACTCGGTCGCGTTATTTTAATTCTGTCGATGGCCTCGCCCAGTGGCGCGTTTCTACCTTGATGGGGACCAAGACAAAATGCTATTTGGGGGCCCTGTTCTTGGAAGAAAGCATTGAGCAGTTTTAATTTCAAGCATCGGTGCTTGAGAGGCTTGGTACGATTGTTGGTGATGATTCAATAGAGGAAGGGGTGGTATTTTCACTCAATCCTGTTCGGTATTTTCTTTGTTTTACATTTTTAATTTGAAACATTACTGCTTGGCGATTTTAGTACGATTAAGTATTTATTACATTTCAATTTTTGAATCTACATTTATTGCAGTTAAAATGTGAATTTTAAATTTGCATATTCGGTTTATCATACGAGTATCATGAATATTTTTCTTTAGATTATAGATTCAAATTGAAATTATTGAACAGTTTTGTATAATTTGAATTTTGTTATAAACCCTCACATATAGATATATATGTATGTGTAAATTTGTTATTTGTTTTTGTGTTATACGAATTTTTGAATCATTCACCAAGCTCATCAAGCACCAAACATTGTCTATGCTGACAGAATTCTTTTTTGCCTATAGTATAATGCGCCACTGGCCTTGGCGATCGTTGGGATCACGTTGGACTTTCAATCACCTATTATCGCGATCATGTTTGCCTAAAATGCTTTGGTGCGATGAGTTATGGCATGCATGCCTTTTTAGCGGGCCTATTATGTAACGAGTTATTATAGATAACGATGATCGAATCACGGAACAGAGCGAGACTAAAATCTGATCGTGTAACTTTAAGTTACACAAATTTCGATAACCTCGATCTAATCTATATAGTAATTTTAAATAATCAGTAAAGAGATACATAATTTTTCATTCGTTACTCGTTGAATTAATTATATAGAATCTTTTCAGGAAAAAAATCGGTAATACAAGTTTATTATTTTAACAGAGTGTTTTGTTTCACAGCTTTTAACATCTAACTCAAAATTTGTATCATTTGAAATTCACTAAAAGACTTTCATATTCTCTATGTGCCCTTGAAACGTTTCAAATATGACGAAGATGGACAATGACTACATGACCAAGATGAACAATTTCATTAAGCGTCAAATTTCTCGATAAAAATATTTTAAAATACTCATTTTCCTTCTAATGTAAATTCCACGGTGATGAATCAATGTATAGATAATTATGAACTGTATATAACAAGAAATCATGTTACTCATAAATACTCGCAAAGCAACGGTAAATTGCGACTAATTTGAACGACCTTCCCTAATTCTTTCTGTCCTTTGTATTTCAGGACTGCTGAAGTGTCATTGCGACATTTGCACGGAAACCAATCACACGTGCGAAACCGATGGCTATTGTTTTGCTAGCACCAGCTTGGAGAATGATGTTATCACATACGCTCGGAGGTAACGTATATGCATGAGTAGCTCGTTGTGAGAGAGTAATTTCACTGACCAAGAGTTCTCTTCGTCGTCGATTCGTCGTACTACAATCGACATACAGGTTGCTTAATTTAAAACATAATAAATAAACATCCCATCAGGGAATGAAGCCATCAAAAAAATATTTTTACAAAAATTATTTGGTATAAAGGAAGTCATTATGTGGAGTAAATAGTTTTGTTGTAAGTGCAACAATGTGGGAGATTTAGAGAACAAATAAATATATGCAAGATTCCATTTGAAAATATTGATTTGTGTTTTAAATATTAAATATACAAATATTGGATTTTAATGTTTAGAAAACAAAGAAAAAGATACAAGGTTTCATAAAAAAAAAAAAAAAAAAAAAAAAAAAAAAATGAATTTGTTATCTAAATCACTCTGAAAATTATTTCATCATATAATGCTCCCCCTTTATACCAAATAACTTCTGTAAAAATATTTTTTAAATCATCATTTCATGAAGTATTTAAATATTCCAGTTTAAACGAAACATCCTGTACACTTAAAACAATTGTATTCTCTATACCATACAATTTTGCAAAGCTTAATATACCAACCCTTCGAACCCGTCTCGGTCCATATCTTCTGATTTCAATATATTTTCGTCGGGTCTCCCTCGACATAGGACCGTAAAGGGTTAAACACGCGTGACGTATCACGAGGATCGTTTAAATAACGATTTATACATCCAGTTAAACGTGTCTCGATTAGCGTGGAAATTTCTACTACGATGTACCTGCCTATGGACACGTCGTGCAATAAATATCGTAACGTTGTGTAATTACCGCATTACTGGATGATTAACGACGCGCAACGAATAGTAATAAATTTTCATTTGAACTTTTACTTGACGTGATCCCGTTATCTGAAACGAAAGTAATATCGACGCGCGATTATCGCACGGGGGAAACAAATAATAACGTTTTCTCGTTTCGAGTACGAGCATGATGTTTCAGTTTAATTTCCGCGTTGACTGTTTATTAGACGTTTGCTGGGAATTGGTGAATCATCCGCAACGAAAGGAGTCAACGATTCGACGGTGAAATTTCTTTTTATCGCTTCCTCCGTGAAGAGTCGGATAAAAGTTATCGTTATTACATCATTTAAGCGTTGTTTAAAATTATGCTCGTTTTATCGCGTCGCAGAATGGTTTCGGTAACTCTGAGTCGGTTTACGGGAGAAATTATAGATTGGTGTCTCCGAGTATTCGAGTAGCTCGAAAAAATTACTGTTCGAGTGGGTTGAGTAATTCGATTATTTGTTTACTGATATTCGAGTACTGTTGATTAATTAGTGTTGACTGAGTTCCATTATTAGGTATCTTTGAATGATGAAATATTGTTGTACAAATACAAATGAATCGAATGATTTTGTTCGAGTATTGTTCAAATATTATTGAATACTCGAGCACATTGCTTTTATTCAGGCATTGTTGATTAAATAGAACTTTATTCTTGAGTACAGTTGAATAACGAAATATTGTTTTTAAAATACGGTTGAGTAATCACATACTGTTAAATAATTCAGCACTGGTGAATAAACTATTGAATAATTGAATACTGTTCAAGCATTGTTGAGTTCTCAAGCACATTCTCCTACTCAGGCGTTGTTGATTAAATAAAATTCCAATGCTGAGTACGGTTAAAAATAACGAAGTGTTGTTGTTTAAATCCACCTGAATAATCACGTATCATTTTATTCAGTCACCCCTAAACAATCTATTTCATAATTGAGCACAAATTTTTAAATTCTATGGAATAATTAGTGAATAAAATTTGTACATTTTTCGAGCTATTCGACGAATCGCCCGAATATTTGGAATACTCGGGCAGGACTAATTGCCGCCGCTTCGATCGCGTTTCACCGCGAAAGGAAGTTCAACAGTCACGTTCTGTTACCGATCGATTCCCTCGTCGTAGTTTCCAGGAACGTTTACCCGCTTTTTTTCCAGTTGGCCCTGCGAGCCATGATTAGCGCCTGGTTTCGGGAGTTTCGACGGAAACGAATTATTGTTGTCGGCCAATGGTCGCGTTGGTAACGCCTCACGACGCCGTTTTCAGATTTCTCGGGGCTGCGAACGAAACAGATGTCGAGAAACTTTGCGAGTACCTCGATCCCTGTTGTACGCGAATTTTCAGCGTTTGTTTCTCATTTTCTGTTTTCGATAAACGCGTGGGGGTAGCCACCAATTATCACTAGACTTCCAAGCAGATAGAGAATTAATTATTCGATTAATTCGTGCTTTCGAATATACCATTCTTATTGATTTTTCATTTATTCACTCAAACAGAGGTTTCCACTATATTCTCCTTGAGTAGTGGAGCCTTAAGTTGATCCAATTTTTGGTTAGCAATTTATTCAACTCCATTGGAAACTCACAGCAGAAGTTTCTCATTTTTCTTATTTTAATTTTAATATTTATTGGAACAGTAATTTTTGGACTTGGAGACTGGCGTTGTGCCTCTTTTATGGCTAATTTTTCATCGATTTTATTCTTGCTAAGACTAATAAATGGTTTCGAATGAAACTCGTCGCTTTTTTACTGCACAAAGTTGAAGAGAAGTTTTGCGTATGGTCGCTGAATATATTGCAGCTTCGAATGGGTTTTCCAACGAGTGGGTTCGTATACTAAAAGAAGCACGGTACAATATGCGGTTTCGAAATCGAACGAAATCGACCGTGACGATATGCGACAGTCTGAGGTCGCAGACGTGCGGATGGGGCCTAAATGTTTAATGCGCCAGACGGATAATTTGGATAATTCAGCCGGAGATCGTATCGAAAATAGCATGACCGAGATTATTTGATTGGTTGAGACGTGAAAGCGGCACGAGATAATTTCTTGCTGTTGGATGATTACAAGTGACGCGGTTAAACCGCGAGACACGTTCAATTTTTTCTACTGTTTGATTCTTCTTTTAACCAGAAATGGGCAAAATTCTTGTTTAGATAAAGAATCGTGTTAACTAAGCAGATACAAACACCTGTTTATTCGTCATTTATTACAATAATTTTTAAAATTTGGATTATGAAATGGAGTACTCGACATATATTTATCGATTACTTGATTTTGCCTATTTCCGGTTCAAACCAATCATTATGAATTATTAACCTATTTAAGAGTTTATTATGATTGGCATTATTCTATGTTTAATTTTGGCAGATCGGTTGAAAGTAACTTCGTTTTATAAATAAATCGATTGTTCCACAATTACGTGGTGTTGAAGAAAAAACACAAACTCCGAATTTTTGGCAGTCTAAATAAATAAATTTTTAAAAGGAAAAGCGCATTAAATGAAACAATATAGATTGTAGAAACAGATCTATATCGAAAATGATGCCACGAACGGTCTACACCTAAACGGTGTAGCTGTTCGTGCAGTACAAATTGGAATACTTCGTTCATAGTTGAGTGCCACAAAGATTAGCAATTAAACAGCAATTTGTTCGGTTTACCTGCATGATTTACGGCCGAGTGCGCTTTATGAGCTTAGAGCTCGCAGGACCAGGTGCAGAGACACGCGGAATTTTCGCGAATGGCAATCGAAGGAACTTGTATCTGAAGGTGCTCGTTAGACGAGGGCTGTCACTTTGCTGGAAACAATCAAATGCTTCAACCAATTAAGTGACGTGACCGTTGCCCTTTCCAACCCAATAATTTCAAATTTATCTGGCGGGTTCGTAGTCAAACATATCGAAGTAATTAATTTCTATCCTTTCCAAATCAGTTTATTCTAAAAGTGAAATTCTCTGCACTCTAAATTTAGTAATCTCTATATTTGTTAATAAGATATACTCTTGTACATTTGGATAAAATTTTACAAAGGACCTTAATAAGAGTAAAATTATAATTGAATAAAATCAGACATTTTTCAAATTAATATAAATGATAGAATTCGTTAAAGGGTATGAGATCTGAGCATCTATTAGAGATCTTAAAATGGAAAATCAAGTTAATAATTATTGTAATGTGAATTTGCATATCAATGCCATTGAGAATTTTGATGTTCCATTTCACAATAGTCAATGGACAGAAAGAAGCATAAGCCTCCACATAGTGTATACTTGTTGAATAAAAAGAAATTCGCAAGAATTTTCATAAAACTCAACCCTTTTAGCATCGATCTGCCAAATAATTGTCACAACAACCCTTCACACTCTTTTCCATACGAGTCTCCATTGAATGAAATCCGAATTTATCTAACAGAAATTTCTTATTATTTTATTTTTTGGTTAGTTCATATATGTAAAATAGCCTTTTTGTATTCACACGAAGGAATCAAGAAATCAACGAAAATCGAATTCAGTCACTTGTCAACTTCGTTGCACAGCTTGGTAATAAAATGATAGGGAAAAAATACAATGTAAAGGGTTTTCAAAAAGTGGCTTCAAATTCCGTTCATTTGATGTATTCATATTACGTTCCATTTTAACAATTTTTAAGCCTCTTTTATAGAACCCTTTTACATTATGCTTTCACTTTATTTTTCATTCTTTACCACATTTAATTCTATCGAACTTAATCAATTATTTGAATTAATTGATTGGACACGTTTGCGAGTGTCCGTTGTCATACGATGCAGCGAGCATGATACTAAACGTGACATTGTGATGTTGTGAAAGGTGCCTCGACCGAAAGAATTGGCTCCCGCCGGAAGCACCCCTGTCCTGCAAAAGTAAGCCGGGTATCTATCGGTCCAGGATCTGCTGCGATAAAGAGTACTGCAACCTGAATTTATATCCGGTCTTACTGTCTCCCGACTCGCCTGAATTATCCTCAGGTATTCTTCTGTTGGCCGACCAGCGGCACAGAAGTCCAATCCACCTACGTGTTCTTTTCTCTAATGTTTTCTGTTTCTTTTCTTTTCACGTTTTCGTTTTTTTCCTTTTGTCGTTTTTATGTATTGTTGCGAGAGATTTCGAGAGAGATCATAACATTCACGAGCGTGTTGCCAGGGTTG